TGGATGACAGTTTAGAAACACGAGCTGATGCTCCTACCGCTCTTCCCCACCCCCACACTATTTCCTGATACCCAGTTTCTAACCCTTTCCCCCCATTTTGGGAGCAGCTGGGCCAGATGGTATCCATTGTCCTGGGAGAGCACCATTTCCAGCAACAGACACAGAAAAGGCTTTTGAGTTCCAAAATCTTAGGGCTTGAGGAGACTACAGAATTAGAAAAAAACAAACTGGATGACTCAGAGAAAAATCTCCTGGCCCCGAGGTTCCTGGGCTGGCAGGTGGGGGTGGAGAGAAATGGAGCAGGCTGGGGCCCACACGTGACAGGATCAGAGCAGGTCTGAACACCACCAGCCTCCATCCAGCAGTGTCCCCGCCGCAAGTGGCTTCCTCCACCAGGGCCCAGGAGCCATCCCTGCAGGAGCCCGGTTGGTGCCACAAACCGTGCAGCCCCCATTCAATCAGTCGGCACACCCCTGAGGCCTGGCCGTGGTGACACTAGGGGGTGTGGGGGGTGCAGACCACACAAGGTGACAGTGTCAGGGACGGTGACACCAAACCACTGTCCATACAATGTTTGTGCAGTGTTTTCGCAGAAATTTATTCTTTTTTATAAAAATATCTCTGTAGTTAGTAATAACAGCAAGAATATTTTTCATAAGCTCAGCTTACATGTATCAGTATACCTAAACCAAAAACACGTGTTACAAGGGCGTAGTTTCATCTGCACTTGCTACATTACGCCCATTGGGTGTTTTTAGTCACTGATTTTGTCAAATTTTCTGGTGTTTTAGCTACAATATTGTGGTAATTAGTATTTGTGAACCTGTATCAGTAACTTTGAGGAGGAAGTAGTAAGGAAAAGAAGAAGAATCAAAAAAGGCTTCTGCTCAGTTACTGATAATGTTGTAACTAAGAAAGATTTTACAAAGCAATTTTTGTCAGTGTTTATATAATCTAAGAAATATTACATTTAAGCAATTTACAACTACATTTACACACACTATTCTATGATTAAAATTGATAATAAACATTACTAAGAATTCTGTATGGTCTGGTACGGGAGGAGGTCCACGGGGTGGGGGTGACACCATGAATTACTGCACTTGGGACACCAACCCTAGTGCTGCCACTGCTACTTGGACAGGTATGTAGACCCCTTAAGATTCTCCCCTGGAGCAGCACAAGCCACCCTCAGACACTCTAGCAGGACTGCCTCTTGTCTGCCCCAAGACAGCACATGGGCACACCTGCCTTACTTGCTCCTCCCGACATCCCTCAACATCATGCCCACATCAACATCATGCCCACCCCACCCCCAAGACAAAGGAGTGGTCCTGGACACCTGGGGGTGGCTTAGAGGGAAAAGCCTGCACATCTATATTTAGGAAATAGTGAACAGATCCTGGACAGATGAAAACACCTGCCACCCACCTCCACCTCCCAACCAGAATGGGCAGGGGTGGGGGCTGTTTCTGACTCATCGCTGTAACTCCAGTACCCTGCCCAGTGCCTGGCACGCAGTAGGTGAGGTGCACAATAAATATTTATTGGCCTAAACCCAGTATGAGGCGTCAGATAGACCCAACACTGATGGTTGGCTGGCCTGAGCCCCATCCCCAGCCTCCACCGCCCCCTACTCCCTACCCGGTGACTAGTCAGCAGTGGCCATGGATCCAGTTTGGCCAAGAGGACAAAGCAGAAGCCACAGGGTGGGGCCTCCGACAAAGCTTATGGTAGAAATGTAAATCTCTCTTTTTAAACCACTGCTGTAGTTCCATAGGGTTTTCATCATGATGTATAGGATTTTGAATTCCACTCACTTATCTTGGACATCAGAGAAGACCAATCACTAGAAAAAGACATCATGTCTGGTGAAGTACAGGGTCATCAAAAACGAGGAAAACCTTCAGTGGGATGGATTGACACAATAGCCTGAACAATGGACCCAAATATACCAACAATCATGAATATGGTGCAGGAACAGGAAATGTTTCGTTCTGTTGTACATAAGGTCACTGTCTTGTCATCTAGTGCTGAAATACCACAAGTGGATGGTTTTAAAAAACAGAAGTTTTTTCTCTCACAGTTTAGGAGTCTAGAAGTTCAAATTCAGGGTGTCAGCTCTAGGGGAGGGCTTTTTCTCTCTTTCAACGGAAAGGTCCTTGTCTTCAATCTTCCCCAGTCTAGGAGCTTCTCAGCGTAATGATCCCGGGTCCAAAGGACACGCTCCCCTCCTGGTTCTTCATTCTTGGTGGTAGGAAGTCCCCCTGTCTCTCTGCTTGCTTCTCTCTCTTACATCTCAAGAAAGATTGACTCAAAATACAACCTAATCCTTTAGATTGAGTCCTGCCTTGTTAACATAACAGCCTGTAATCCCATCTCATTAACATCATAGAGACAGGATTTACAACACATAGGAAAATCACATCAGATGACAAAATGGTGGACAATCACACAATACTGGGAATCATGACCTAGCCAGGTTGACACACATTTTGGGGGGGACACAATTCAATCCAAAACAGTCACCATGATTTGGAACCAACTCGACAGCAACTAACAAACAACAGCATGCAGATGTTCTGTTATTTGCAGTTGCATGCAAGAGTGTAGAGGTACTCTACAACCTTCAGAGTAAGCTGGTGACCACTGAAATCTGGGTTTCCCCCACTACCGCCACTCCCCCAAAACTGCTTTTGTTGAGGCCACTGTATTAAGATAAATGATGATAGGTATCATAATAGGCAAATCCTGAAATTTCAGTGGCTTAACACAATGGAAGTTTATTTCTTGTTCATATTATAGTCCAATGCAGGTTGGTGGAGAGGGCACTGCTCCACATAATCATTTAGGGCCTCTAGCTCCTTCATCTTGTAGCTCCACTCTCCTCTGAGTTCTTGGAGCCCTCTCCATAGAGGATCATAGAGGAGGTTTTTATGGTCCAGGTCTGGAAATGGAGCACTTCACTTTCATCCGCATTCTGCTGGCCAGAAGTCAGACACGTGGTCACAGTACATGCAAGGGAAGCTGGGACATGTAGTCTAGCTCAAGAAGAAGAGGCAATTTTGGCAACTGGTGTGCACCAGTGGGGTCTATCTCAGCCACCAGAGACCATTTTGTCCCTATAAGCAGTGCTCACTTCTTAGCCCTCGATGTACACCACTTCTCAGCAACATTGGTCACTGTTAGCCATCCTATCTTTTATAAATACTCTCTGTTCTTGGCTTCCTTCCTTACTCCCTTTCTCTGGGCTTGCTCCAACACCCCTAGCCACTCCTTGTCCTCTACTTGCCCTAAAGTGTTGGCGTCCTCAAACTGGGTCCTGAGCCCTCTCCTCTCTTCCCCCTTTTCTGACCCTGCACAATCTCACTCTTACCAGCTGCCTCAGCTACCACCAATTACACTCAGGCCCCTGAATGCGTCTCCAGACCCCACTTCTCTCCTGAGCTCAAGACTCTGGCATCAAACAGCCAGGTAGGTTGACACCGTCACCTAGATGTATCACAGACACCTCAAGCTCAACATGCCCAAAACTGTTAACATCTTCTTCACCCCCAAACCTGCTCCTCCTCATGGGCTTCCCCTGCTGAGAATGGCACCACCATCAACCCAACGGCTCAAGCCAGAAACTGGGCATCATTCTGACATTTCACTTCCCCACCCCACACACTCTGTCAATCATCAAAGTCCTATTGCTTCTATCTCCTATATATCTTGGAAATCTACCCACTCCTCTCTATTGCCATGACCTCTCCCCAAGTTCATGCTGCCATCACCTCCCTCCTGGACAGTTACAACAGCCTCCCAGACCTTAATCCCCTACATGGGTCCTGGAGGCCAATGCTTCTCAGGCTTCGTTGTTGTTGTTAGTTGCCATCAAGTCGACTCCAGCTCATGGTGACCCCATGTACAAAAGAGTGAAATGTTGACATGTAGTGGGGTTCTTAACCATTGTCATAGGGCAATATGTGTACTAACTGTTTAATGAGAAACTATTTTGTTCTGTAAACCTTCATCTAAAGTGAGAATAGCAGCACAACTGG